AAGAGAATACGCGAAACTTACTAGCCTGAAAACAAAGAGCCGCACTTCATACTAATGAGTAGATTTTGGTAAGCCCAACCCCCAAAGAGAGTGATATCATAGCGGTAGGGCTCTAATTCGTTTGGCTAGCTTACCACAGTCCTCTGCGTACCCAAAATCCTTTTTTGTGGCATACGATCAACATCTCTCGTCTCATTTTCAGTATTTTGGTTTTTATTATGGTTTCAATTAGCAGTAGCATGATTTCCAAGACTGATCCCATACACCTGAGAGTTTCCCTAAACTCCAAACCCCACCCAGCAGGCCCCAGCCCTAAACCCTAAACAGGTGCTGGCCAGGGCCTGGGTAAGAAGGCCACGTTGGTAGACTTGAAAAGGCGTCAAATTTCTTTCCCCCTTTTGGGACCCCTGTCATTCACCGCATGTACACAAAAGGTAGAGATAAAGAATAATTATGTGCGTGTATATATGTCCATATGTATTATGTATGTGTTCGTTCATGCGCACGTTGCAGGTTACAAGCGCTTCTTCCGCGAGGGAAAACCTAATGCAGCGCCTGCTGGATTTTGGGGTTTACGCATCTTGACCGTTTCGCAAACTCCAAACTACACATGGACGAAGATACCACGGTATCCCAGTGTCCATGTCATCTTCCACTCTCTTTTTTTCAGTTGACTCTCCGTTGCTGGGGTACTATCCCTCTCTCTCTCTCTCGCAGACTCGAGACGTCAGACGCAGGGGTCCTATCCCCAAATCCTACAAAAACCCCTTCTCATATTTTCTTGTCTCTTCTCCATCTAACTATCCCTTAAAGAGGTACTTTCCCTAAATGCTGTAGAATCCCTTCTTCGAATGCTTAGATAACCCCTGTGAAGCTATCTCAAACCAAGCCATGGTGCAAGGTGTATGTGGCTCGGTAAGCGGTACCATAATGAGTCCACACCCAAATTCGATCCTCAAGAGGCTGGCTCTCATCTTTGATGAAGTCCTTGTCTCAGGATTGGGGGTCTTCAGAGAGTTTAGATGAAGATATTTCAGGGTTCTGGAATATACGGGTGAGGAGTTTTTCGGCCGGTTGTCGTGAAGCAATTCGGCTACTCGGTTCTTGCATCTTCCATATTTCCGTTGTACTGCCGGAATTTGCGGCTAGCCGCATGCGCATGACTTCCAGGCGATCGGGCTACATGAGGTTTCATGCGGCGACGCTCACAGCAACAGGTTTTTGAAAATGGATGCATGCGGCCGCCAGACAACCACCGCTCAGTCAGTCATCGTGGGTGTTTTTGCTCCCAGACACATAGGGAAAACCAGATCCTTGATAGTTCGCACGAAAGCATGACTCGTAATAGACATTGAAGCTGCAATCCCTGGGCCGCAAAGCCGACTAAAGCGTCCCAAATTCAGGCCAGTGCGCTGGCAATCCCACTTCAAAGGCTCAACCCCTGAACTTTAAACCTTTGGCCTCTGTAGTCTCATTAGTCCTCTCAAACCTGCACATCATAAGTGGCCGCCAGGAGCGAGACAAAGCGTACAAAATGGAAAGCCCACAGCATGATAAAGATCTTGCAGGGTTTACGGCTTAAGGCTGTCCGTACCCAAGGTGGACTACTTGGAGCTTCATGACTTGCTGGGCTTAGCAATAAAAGGGGGAATATGTTATATAGAGATTACATAGGGACTAAATTCCCTTCTTCCGAACAAAAAGCCACTATGATTGAGTTTGTTGTAACCTTAAACCCTGAACCCTCTACCCCACTCCACGGGGTAGGATGTCTACCTTTGGCTTCTCCAACTGGACATCTCATACATCAACGAGTGTACAATTTCAACCTAGACTCTCCATCTCTACCCTCTTTAGATTAGAAATGGAAGTAATTAGGCTTAGGGTCCTGAGGCCTGCATGAGGCCCTGTACCCCACACCAGAATCACACAAGGAAGCAGTACCGTCACCAGTGCTTCTAATGAAGCAGACATGCTCACTCGCCAAACTACGTCCTATGCGATATAAGCTACCGCCGCAGCTGTTGTACCTTCTGACATCAATCTGAAACCCTCAAAGCCATCAAACCTTAACCCGGTAAAATACATATAGCCCCCCCTAAACTCTGTAGGAGTCCCCTAAACCCTTAATCCTACATCAACCCCATAGCCCCTTTACAGCCACCATTCTCCATAGGAGGTGGGGAGTACTATGCTTTCAGCATGACCGACCCCGCCAAGCCTGAAGTAGATTTCCGAGGATGAGGGCTCCCATGCACATGAAGACAGCGAGCAGCACCTAAGGTTTTTTTTCCCTCCCGCTTGGTTTAAGGGTTTAGGAGTTTAGGGTTTAGGGGCTTCCCTTCGCCCAAATATCAAACCACCCCACCCCCCTGAGATTAAATATGCCCATTGTGGTATATTACGATGTATTCGGAATGTGTGATACTACCGGGGTCGGACCGGGGGGGTTCATATACGGGGGAATGGATTAACCACAATTTTTGCTAATGCGCGCAACGGATTGATGGATAGGGTGCAAAGATTTCAACTTATAGCAGATGAGTGTAGTCATGGTGGAGAATCAGAAAAAGAGCACAATGTGCCTAACACTGAGATGGATGATCTGGGGCTTGTTAGGGATCATTTGAGCTACAGTATAGTCTAAACTCCTATATATCCACATTAATAAGACTATAATATTCCCCTATATACTCCCCTACAGAACCCCCTTCAAGGAGTTTAGATTATGGGTCATCTCGAGAGAGAGGGAATCATGTCAAGGGTCTCCGTGCGGACTGTGGAATCTACCTCTCCGCCCCGTCAAAATCATTTTTCAACTCATGTCAGAAAACTGTAGCAGCAGTTCCGTAGACTTTCGCAAGTTGAGGAGGTCCTGTAGAACCGCTAGTTGCGCGGGTGCAAGGCCCCACTCACGGACGCAGCTGCTGGGCAAAAAGGACTTGAGGCCCGATTGCACCGGGCAAAGAAGCATTCGGCAAGCAATGATCGCGACAGCCCTGAGAGTCATAAGCTCAGGTTGCTCCAACGGTTGCAAGAGCCTTTGCCTTGAAAGGGGAGCAGATGATAGTTTCCCGAGATAGGCGGACCCCGAAAATGCTATAATCCTCATTGTGGGGGCCTCCAAAAATCTACACCTAATTTTGGGAAACTCCCCAGATAGAGGAACCCGACCTTTTGGGCGCACATCAGCAAGAGCTTCCGAAACATCAGAGAATCCCACAGTTCGAATTCCGAAGATGCAGAACCCCACCCCCCCTCTGCAGCTTCAAACTCCCATGGGCAGAGCCAAGAACCCATCACAGACCGTTTCATCGTGTGGCACGCACGATACTAAACCCCTTACAGGGCTTCATGAATTCATCAAACCTGGGCAGTTTCCGTACTACTGAAGTTTAGGGTTTAGGACTTGGGGATTGAGTATAACAGGAGGCTCTGACTGAAGTCCCCTTCCCTTAATGACAAATCCTTCTATTCTGTACTCTGAGCGGGAATGGCCATCATCAAAGGGGTGGGGGTGGAGATGATTTTGGTTATTACTTGTAACTATCAGTGTCAGTATTAGTATTATAGTGTTACTATTCCTATCCTGTTGCGACTAGTATTGTTATTCTTGTTGTTATTATTAGGATGATCCAGTCCAGCATAGCCACCATGGACCAGCAGAGTGATGGTAAGCAGCATTGGCAGGCCTGCGCTCACAGTTTGTGTTAAGGCTTAGGGGATGCTCTGAAGGCCTACATATTTGACTATAGGGTTTAATGTTGGCAGAGCTTGAGGTCCATTGGTAAAAAACAGCAACTGGACATGAGTAGAATAGCTGTACGGGGTAAGCTAGTAGGAATTCAACACTCACAGGGTGCAAGCAGAAAGCAAGGTGAACAGGTCTGGTACCAAAGCCTAAACCCTTAACCCTGTACCCTAAACCACCTTCAGATTTCAAAAAGCTGGTGCCATGCACTCACCGAGAAATCATTGGTACATAGGGCAAATAAGATTTCACTGTAACTTCCCTTGCTGCGTCTTAGTAGGGAATAGGGGCATATAACATATAGGGTTTGGGGTTAAGGGTTAGTAGAGAATAAAGGAAGATATAATACAGAGTTTATGTAGGCATGATATTCCCTTATTCCGTGCTAAGAACCAGTAACTTCCACTAGCTACCCCTAAGTCATGCGTCTTAGGCTTTATAGGTATGAGCATAAAGGCGAAAGTTCAAGGTTGAGAAGCCTACTTGGGATTCTATGGGTAGTGACGTGGATACGGGGTTGCAAGTAGGATGGCTCATGCTTCAGTGTTCATAGCCCTGCTTGTGACAACCGATGTAACTGCGCAATCAAGTAGCATGATGTCTTGTTTTCGTCGCCGTCCAAAATGACGTTGACGTCAGGACGACAAGGGAATGCTGTCGGCAATGGCTTCGGGACCCGCACCACCGCATGCAATTCAGGAGGGCAACACGCAGCATAAGACTTGACTTGTTCACAGCTTCAAGGGGAAAATTGTACGGACATGTGGTTTGCTACGGGAACGTAGGACTTTACAACTCTACAAAATTGCTAAAGGAACCCGATCACCCGTAGTGTTACCTCTTATCACAATATCCGCTTTTCCCTGAGAAAAACCAAGAAGGTCCAGCTGGACCAAAAAACCGAACAGCACAGCAGCACGCGAAAAAAGGATAAGTCCAACACCGAAGCAGTACGGCTCCTTTTTTTTTTTTTTGTGACTGTCCAATTGCAAGACTTGCACTAAAATCGCATAGGTCTACAAGGACTACAATCACTACCCGAAGACTGAAGCTATCGTTACGGCACTACTTTTCTTGGTGCTCTATCGTTTCCAGAACGGAAGAAGCTCAGCCACCCAACAAATCTGAAAGCCTTAACGAGCATCCGCAGGCCGCGGAAGAAGCGAAATGATCGCACCATTCGGATTGCCCTGAAGGCCTGCGTTCAAGTCAAGGTTCCTAGGGTCTTAGTCACTCGTCGGGCTGGAGATGTTGAGGGCCAAATGTCCCTCACTTCCTGCTCATGTGTAGCTTATTCATCCAGTAAACAGTGTGAGGGCCACCTGTTGCGAGGCTAAGGGTCCTTCATCCAGAAGCCTGCGGAAGAGAAGTCCAGTCCTTTGCCCTCCAAGTACTCTGCTTGAAGAGAGGCCATAAGGTCCTAATTGTGAGCATTCAGGCCAGCGTGACCCGTTGGAGGATCTTGGTTGGAGGTACGCTATACGCGCCGATGATGAGTGTCTGGCACGCGGCGGAGATTCTTTGCGTAAAATTTGGAATCTGTCTCGGACGGAAATGACCAAGCGCAACGAAACAACCTCCACGTAGTCTTGATGGGGGACGCCTACAGGCTCCTTACAATGCCCCCTAATTATATCTAAAGGGTCCCCAGGATACTTCCCCCATTATTACTACTACTACTACTCCTCCTCCTCCTACTACTACTACTACTACTACCACCACTATTTTCCTTTTTCTAATCCCCAGGATACCTCCCCAGTATTCCTATTAATTATAGTGTTATTACAAGTTACTATTACTCTTGCTATTATTGTCACTCTTCCTAGTATTTACTACTATCCGTTTTGAGAGACCCCCATTGGCAAGCGACGTTGCTCTGCCTTGAGGGCTGTCACGAATCGCAGGGTCACCACGTCCTGCCCAATGATCCGTTAAGGTTTAAGGTTAAGGGGTTGCAAGGGCAAGTTTTGCAAAACACAAGCTTTAGGGTGTAGGTTAAGGGGTTGCAAATGCAAGTTCCGGAAAACAGAAAAACAGTTCCTTTTCTGGGACCTGTCCCCCTAATCCTGCCAATTGAACCAGTTGCTACAGCCATTGAACCTTTCCAAGATCAGCCAACAAGGCCTGCGTTGAAATCTAAATCGGCCAGGTACAGCGGCAAAAGTTGCTGTTGGCGGTCCAAAATGACTGTTGAAAGCAGGGCTGTCGAATAGCTGCATACGCGCCTTCAAAAATG